AATGCAGAGCAAAGAAATTAGTTATCATGTACATAGAAATAAATAATCATTGTAAATACAAAATAATAACTTTTAACATCTAATTTATATTGCACAAAAATAGGACAAAATATTAAATTACCATAGTATGTAAGCAGAAATTTGGGAAGAAGTGATCAGAGAACCTCAAAAAAATCTACTGATGAATAGTCAAAACCAATAAAAAAGTATAGCAAGTTGGTTGGATATTCAATGGACACAAATATCAATTGCATTTCTATACACTTTAACCAGCTAAATATATACCCATGGATATGCTAAAAAAAAAGTTCAAAGCAGCATTGTTTATAAACAGCAAAAAAACTGGAAACAGTTCCAAATGTTTGTCAATGACAAAATGAATAATGTGTGGTTTATTCATAAAATGAGGTATTATGTAGCCATAAAAATTAATGTTATAGTTACACAAAGCGATATAGATAAAATCACCAGCATGATGTTGAACAAGAAAATCATGTTTAAAAAAATACATAAAATATGACTCTATGTATATATAATTCAAAAACATTAAAAAATAAACAATATATTGTTTAGGGACATGAATATATGTGGTAAAACTATAATGAAAATCAGTGGAATGATATACACAAAATTGAGGCTAGTGGTTGCCTCTGAGAAAGGAGAGAATCCAATGGTACTGGGAGGTACCCAGGGAACTTGAAAGGTAATTAACAGTAATGTACTTTTACTTAATCTCAGTGATGAGTACATTTGTTGTTTCCCTATTCTTAATATCTTACATGTATTTTACAAATAATCACTTATATTTATTCACTATTTAATAAAAACAAGTATACAACAAAGTCAGGGAGTGATAAATAGAAATTCAGGAAAGTAGTTGATGGAGAACAGGAATGAGCATGGGGAGAGAATGCATTTGGAAACTGGCATGCAGAAAACTTCTATGTGGTCATGGAATGGTATTAAAATGTTCTATTTCTTGAGTGATGGGTTCACATTTGTAGTATTTTTTTCCTTCATAATTTGCTTGCGTGGCATATACAGTATATGGTTTTGTGTATATCAGGTATTTCACAGGAAAAAAAAAATTGGAAAGGCCATCAAGGTCTAACAGCACCGCTGTACTTACCAGAATACACCGTGCTGTGTGAACAGCACTCGGATCTTTGTGGTTGGCCGCCCAGTGAAGTGGGATCTTGCCTTCGACATCAGGAATCCCAATGTTGGAATCATGCTTGATAAGCAGCTTCACATGCTCGGGGTTATTGTAGTAGGCACTCCAGTGCAGAGCTGTTTGCTGCAAAATTGAGATAGATTCTCAGACCAACAACGACGACAGTAACAGTAACAATGCAACAACAAATGTTCCCCAAGCTTTTACTGTGTAATAGGCACTGTCGTATGAGTTTTATCTCATGTAGTTGTCATGATAACTCTGGGAGATAAATACTCTTGAATTTATACATGATTGATGAGGAAAATGAGCACAAGGAGGATAAGGACATAAAGTAATAAGTAGCCAAATTGAGATTTTAACCCAGGTAGTCTGACTCCAGAATCTTCCCTCTTAATCATGACAGGCATTTAGGTCATCAGATACTACTAAATGATAACACTGAGAAGAGAAAAGCAGCCCAATAATTTATGAATAATTATCAACAAAATAGGTGATGATCTTGATGTTATGCCAAGTATCTTAAAAATTTGATAGAATGTTTTGAATTTTAATATTTATCAAAAAGAAGATCCATGCGTAGGAAATCACAGGCCTGGAATCCGTTTCTTATATCAAAGGATAAATATAACTATAATTTTACCAGATAAATTGTTAGACCTACTTACTGATGAAAGATACATTTTACAGATTTGCTTTATTTTAGATAAAAGTTAAAAGTGAACATCCTGAACTTGTTGACATTGCTTTGAAATCGCTTCTGCTTTCTCATCAACACACCTCAGTGAGGCTGCTGTCCCTAAACCGGTAGAGTTATTAAGGAGACACACAGAAATAGTTTAGATATACATTATCCTTTCAAGTAGCAGTTATCCATCCAATTTAGAATTAGATCATTTAACAGCAGGAACCAAACTCACTTGTCACATTAAAAATTTTAAATATTGACATACACGGTATTCATTCAATATGCACCTACAAGCATTAATATGAAGAGTCACCATTTAACTTATTACTTTTTATTTAGTAATAACGGCAGGAAAAAAGTCACAGACATAATAGCAATTAATTCCCTATAACTACATTTTCAATATACAACATATACAGTTTCTGTAATTCTTTTTTCCCATGTTATGTTTGTTCTGAATATTTTTACTGAAATGTAACATTATGTCTGTTGAGTCTAATAGTAAAAAGTTTGAGGTTGTATTTTCTACATCTGTTTTTTTATTTTTCTAGTAATTTTCTCTTTTTTTCTGTGATAAAACACACATAAAATTTACTATTTTAGCTGTTTTAAAGTGTACAGTTCAGTAGCATTAAGTACATTCGCATTGTTGTGCAACCATCAGCACCATCCATTCTCACTATTTTTCATCTTCCCAAACTGAAACTCTATACTCATTTAACAATAACTCCCAATTCTCACCTCCTCCTAGCCCTTGGCTAGGTATCTCATAAGTAGAATCATATAATATTTATCCTTTCGTGTTTATTTCACTTAGCTTAATGCCTTCAAAGTTCATCCATGTTGTAGCAAGTGTCTGAATTTCATTCCTTTTAAGGCTGAATAATATCCTACTGTAGGTATATACTACATTTTATTTATTTAGCCATCTGTCAATGGACATTTGCGTTGTTTCCATTTTTTTGGCTACTGTGAATAATGTTGATATGAACATGGATATACAAATACCTGTCCTAGTTTCTGATTTCAGTTCTTAAAGAATTACTGGATCATATGGTAATTCTATGTTTAATTTTTTGAGGAACTGCCATACTGTTTTCCACAATGGCTGCACCATTTTATATTCCTACCAGGATTGCACAAGGGTTCAAATTTCTTTATATCCTCACTAGCACTTGTTATTTTTTTTTGCGTGTGTAAGATAATAGCATCCTAAAGGGTGTGAAGTCCTATGTCATAGTGGTTTTAATTTGTATTTCTTTAATGATTAGTGATGTTGAACATCTTTTCAAGAGTTTGCTGGCTATTTGTATATCTTCTTTGGAGAAATGTCTATTCGAGTTCTTGGTGAACAACACATTTTTTAATTGTGTTGTTCATTTTTTGTTGTTCATTTTTAATGTATGTTATATAATTATTGGTCTGTGACATACTGGAAATTAAAAGACAAACAAACTGATCCTTTCCCTCGGATATTTTGAGAAACACTGCTCCAGGCTTTTATTTTGCTCTCTTCTCTGTGTCTGCCTGGACTGTGTAGACCATTTTTCATTTGTCTGACTCAATAACCTCCCATTTCTGTTCCATATGGAAGAATATACAGATGCTGGAAGACAGCAGAAAGTTTCTAGAATATTTGGGAAAGACATTATAAAGCCCAAAGACATTTGTAGCTTCTTACATGATTAACAGGTATTTGTGGATTTATCAAAGTGCTCTTTTCAGTGAAATATTAGCACTAGAAATGCTGAGTTAGGAATATTTTAGTTTATAAAAGCTGTAAAATAAAGTTGATTATAAAACTCTGGGTTATGTGAGTGACTACTAAACAAAATCTGAAAACTACATAAAAAACACTATGAGAGGATTATTGAATATACACCCAGTAGATTTAATCATAAGAGTTTTAATTACATGGGAGTATTAGAGTTAGCAAGATTCTATAATTAAGTGCCTGGTGGAAATGAAGAGGATTATTGCACTTGTCTAACTGAAGACCACGTTTTTTTCCCTATGTAGAAATGAGAGCAATAAACAGCCAATTAAAGCAATGACCAACATGTATAATATATTAAAATTCAAGGGTAAGAAAGATAGTAGATCTTAGCAAAAAATGCCAAAGTGATATTAGAACTGAAATGAAACTAATAATAATTATTTTATAGCTAATATTTGTTGAGAGCATACTCTGCAATATATTATTTGCTAAACATTATATATATATATAAACATTTTCTCTTCAACACCTACTATCTTCTTTAAACATATGAGAAAATTGAAGAATAAAGGAGTAGAGTAATTTGTCCAAGGACACAGAACAAGTAAGTGGCAACTTACTTGTTGAAACCCAAGAAGTGTGATGCTAAAGCCCAGGCCATTCAACAACTATGCACTCAGTGCACTGTCTCGGGCACTGGCCACCATAGACCTAACCACCACGGTCACTATCACGACTCACTGTCAATAATGGGTTTGGTTAGACAGGTCTGGGTTGAATGCTAGTATGGCCAATGGGATCTTGGACAGGATTTTAATCTTCCTGAGTTTTAGTTTCCCCATCTGTAAAAAAGTAGATGATATTATCTACCAAATATGGTTGCTAGAATGATTAAATGACAGAATTTAAGTGAAATATTTTACTGGAGTATGGCAACTTGGAATTGTTCTACCATGTATATGGGTGATAATTTAGGACTTCTTGCTTGAGGTTTCACAGCATAAAAGGAAGCAATTGCTTTTTGCTCTTATTTGTCTTTGATTTTGGCAGTCCGCTACCTTGTTTTTATCCTGTGTATCCACTTCTCCTGGTGCCATAAACTTCAGCAGAAGCGCCAAACACTTAGGGCTCTTGTGCCGAGTGGTCAAGTGCAAAGGAGTCATCTCTTCTAGATCTTTTTGCATCCAATTTGCTCTACGTGTTAGCAAGAGTTTCATGAAACGATAATTTCCCTAAAAAAACAAGAGATGGTAAGAAGAAATTTAGTTTGGAGCCACTTTCTTTTAAATTTTAAAATGTCTTAATTATTCTGCTAGAGTAATAAAATTCAGATAAATTAATAAAAGGAAAAATACTTACAATTCTACTACTCATCATTTTTTTCATATTTCCTTCCAACCAATTTCTATATGCATATAGTTTACATGGTAGCTAATCAATATTTCATTGTTAAAGCAACATATTTTATTTAACCATTCTAATATTGTTTTTAATATTTTCTTTATAGAAAATGCTACAATGTACATCTTTTTTCACATAGTCTTTTTAATTTTTTCATTAGAGTAAAATATCAGGAACCAATTTACTGGGTCAAAGGAGTTTTATGGTTTTTGGTATATTCTCCAGATTGCTTTCAAGTAGCAGCAATAAGCATATTAGTTTTAGCACATTTTGACCAACATAGCACACACTATTTATATTCAAAACATAATGACTTTGTAAAATAAGCCCTCAATATGCTTGAGACAACAGATATTTCAAAGTCAACATGACCAAACTATACTGCATGATCAAGTTCTCTGCCTATTTCATGCCTATTTTCTCTCCCCATTCAAACCATAGTGAGCAGGGTTATCTGTTCTTTTCATCTTCTGAGATCCTCTCCATCCCTTAACTTTGTTGGAAATATGACCTTTTGGCATTATAATGCATTGATGTGCTACTATGACAGGATATCAGAATTAGTAACAAAGACATTTGTTATTTAAGCAGCCCCTCCCCCTACTGTGAGGACTATGAGGCTCAAAGGTAAAGGGGACTAGCTAGAACAGCAATGAGGTACAGAAGGATGAATGAGAGTTGACTGCAGCCCACAGGGGCACAGACAGGACTCAGTTCAAGGGTTAGGGCAGAGATAAGAAAGAACAAGTCTAGAGAAGGAGTCTAGAAGACTATCTATATTAGATGGGCAGATATGAAATGGACAGAAACCAAACTGAATCAGCTTAGTTATTTCTTCTCAGAGGCTTGTCCTTGACTATCCTAAGCAGAATTTATTTTGCTCTTTATTCTAGCACCATTATAGCATTCATTTTACTTTTCTTAGTTTGTACTTACATATATATTTGTTTTTTTCCCTTCACTGTGATCTCTCTCACAAGTTGTAAGCTACATGAAAGCAGAGACTATGTTTTAGTGACCACTGTGCTTGGCATAGTTCCTGGCACAAAAGAGGTGCTTAATAAATATTACTTGAAAGACTGAGTAAATAAGAAGAAATGAAATATATTCTAGAGGTTTTGTTTCTATTTAAAAATTCTTATTAACAGTTACCACATTAGATCATAACAGTTAAGAATCTTAATTCTCAGATATCTGCTATTTTGTTACTCTTACTTTTTAATGTTTTATGTATCTGGGCTTCATTCACAGTGGACATCATTTATCTGGACTTCTAATTTCACCTAGTGTCAGCTTTTGAGACAGAAAGTGCTAAAATTTCCTCAAGAGGGCACCCTGCTCTAAATCTCTTGTTATCTTTTCTTTGAAAAAAGAGAGTACCCAGGAAAAACAAATCTATGTGGTACTTCATACTAAAAAATATAAAGTTTGACCTTTCTGAGCATAACGTTTCAAATATTACAGAATAATTCATCATGACCTTTTAAAGATATTAAACCAGACAATCATTTTGATTCTGAAATTTAGAGGAAAAGGGAAGGAAAAGGAAACTAGAACATGCTGGTGGAGGGAGGGAGACTACTGAGTTACAGAGTGCTGGGTGTATTTACATTTTACATTATTCTGAGGATTCTACCTAAATAAAACACGGTACACCTCAGTGATAATTTATTTACTTGTTCATTCAACAAACATTCAACGAGCCTTGTTCTGAAGCAGCCAACAGTAAAATGTTTGCACTTCACTTATTACAAAGTTCTTTGACACAGATTTCATCTTTGCTCCTCACAGAAGTGTGGAGAATTTTTACAGATTAAATAAAGTATCTTCATATGCCTCTGTTGCCTCATCTGTAAACTAGAAATAACAGTACCTCAGATTACTGTGCATATGAAGTGATCGAGATAATATTGGTAAAGTACTTAGAAAAGTGCGCAAAGCAAATGTTCAGCAAATGTCTGCTGGTTTTATTAGGAACAGTTTTCCAGTAGGGCGGAGGCAAGAAAACATAGATGTTCATGAGTGGCCCATGATAGAGAGCATGCAGATAGAAAGATTTACTACACTTAGTATATATAGTTCAGCTAGTCATTAAGGAAAGAATCAAGGTTAGGGATAGGTAAAAGTAAAAAAATAGGTGGAATGTTATAAACAATAGTCTTTGATTTTTTTTTTTTTTTTACATTGAAAAAGATGTCTATACTCTATCTACAAATAATGATGATATAGAATCAACTAGGGCACACCTAATAGGAATTTAGCTGGTATATGATCAGGCCAGCTTCTCCTATTCTAAAGGACAGAGAAACATCAGAATGCTGGAACTAGAAACAACATAATCTCCTTGATCTCATGAATAAGCACTTATTAAATGCCCAGTGTATGCGAACTCAATTCTAGGAATGAGCAGAGGGGACAGAGAACTCTTACAGCTAAAATCAGGAGAATATTTCTAGTGTCAGTGCAAAAGGAGAAGATATTAGTTAGAAGCAGCAAGCCAATTTGGTAACTTTCTGAGGGTTGTATAACTCTGGGGACCCATATTACAAACTACTTTGCTTCCTGTAAAGCCTCCTCAATACAAAAGTAAACAAACAAAATGTCTAAACATTCCCTCACTATTGCCTGAAATTAGGACTTCTTAAGTTTTCTCGTTAATTATTGTAACGCAAATACTTTGGGGAGAATTTGGAAGTAATCATTCAGTATCATCTCTTAGGGCCACACAGAAACTGATCCTGAGGTGTAGACTGTTTTAGGATCTGCTTTTATAATTTCTGGCGAGGTAGAAAACAGTATAAGAGTAAAGGATATAACAGATCAAGGGTGTATATTCTTAAGAAAACTGATGGTAAGTGAGCAGAAGTGAGGGAGCTGAAGTTACAGAAAAGTCCTGATTTAGTCACTGAAAGGACATTAACTGATACAATCAGGTCTATTATGCCACTCAAATGTGAAAAAATTTCCCAATGTCTCTAAAACACTGAATGTTTTGTTTTGTTTTTGTTAGGGAGTCATAATCCTCATCTGAATATTCTTGTAATTATTAACACAAGGAGCTTCTTTTGTAAATGATTATAACATTTGGATGTTCTCCAAATGCATGAAAGGAGTACAATATCTAAGAGGATAAAAGAGAATGGAAAAGTTCTCTGACCTGGAGACTAGAACTTGAAATGAATCTGGGAAGCAAATCAACCCAAAATGACACTTTTAACCTTATATAGTATTTTTGTTTGTTCAGTCCTCTAAGATAAATTCCTTTTTTAGAAAATAACACAAAGTCATTAAATCTTAATAACAATAACATGAAAGTTTTGAGTGAAATACTTTGATATTTTGCTTTAGGTTTCTCATTTTTAAAGAAATAAAACATAACAGATTTGGTTAATGTTCCCTTTTTGCCCTTCCCCAATTCCATTAACTTCTCTCCTTCTTAAGAGACCATATCCCGAATTTGTGTTTATTATTCCAATGAATGTTTTAATAATTTTCTTTCTTATAAATATATGTATCCATAAGCTACACAGTATTGTTTTACATATTTCTAATCTTTGTATACATGGTACTGTATGAGTCACTTGTCACTTTTTACTCAATTAAATGTTTTTTTAAGATTTATCCAAGTTGCTTTGGTTCATACATTTTCACTGGAGAAAGTATTCTGTCATATGAAAATAATATATTGTACTTATTCTCTAGAGGAATATTTAGCATGTTTCTCATTTTTTACTACTATAAACAATACTGTGATAAATTTTCTTATACATATCTCCCTGGTAAATGTGCAAGAATGTCTCAAACTTGCTCAATTGTTGGCCTGAAGTTGTTCAATAAAGTAGCTACTCTGATTCACATTTCCACCAGTAATGTATGAGAATTCTTATTTCTCCACACCCTTGTCACACCTGGTTTTGTCAGACCTGCTAACTTTGCCAATAAAATGGGTATACAATTGTGTTTTACCGTGGATTTAATTTTCATTTCCCTGATCGAAGTGGAATGTTTTTATATATTTGTTGGTTATTTATTTCTTCGTTCTGTGAATAACTTTTTTGTATTGTTTACTCATTTCCCATCTTAGTTATTTGTCTTTTCTTACTTATCTGTAAGAGTCATTTACATATTCCAGAAACTAATTCTTGGTTGATTTTGCAGATATCTTCTCTGTGTGGATTGTCTTTTTGCCTTGTTTATGTTCTTCCACTAGTACTGAATTCATGATCTGAATAGTGATGTTAGCTTTTTAAGCATTAGATTTCTTTGTGTATTCTGGAATTTCTGTTTGCATGCTTATTTTAAAGAGAAGATTGTTTGCTGCTATTTTTCTTTCTTTCTCTTTGCTCGCCTTTAAAGCTGCTAACACAGAGCTCCTAGTCTATTACAAGATGAATAGGTTCTTATAGCGATCTTTTGCAGCCCTATGTCTAGGGAGATGAGGGATATCAGTTATTGTCACTGAGCAAGAGGGTTGCTTCCTGGTCCTGACGCTTGATCTCTGTCCTGCTCCTGCTACTTCTTTAGACAGTTTCTTCTAAAGCTATGGCCTCATATTAAGGTAAAGAATATCCCCAAATTCTAAGTATTTTCTTGATATTTAGAATTCATTATTTTTAGTGTGACTACGACCACTTTTCACTCAGTAGAAGAACAGGGAGTATATTTCTGAACCAGACATATCCGAAATCACATTCTACAGAACTGTTGTCTGTTCCTGGTAAATGCCTTAATCATTAACTTCCAGACAACTGGGAGCTGATCCTCAAAACACTCTGGATTCCCACTGCTTTGTTTTTCCCAAAATGGCTACCATAGTTTCCATAACTGGCTC